TCTTTAAAAAAAAAAAAAAAAAAAAAAGAATGTATGAGGAGTCGAGGTGGATATATATGCTTTAGTTTGTTCAGTGTGTCATAACATTCATCACGAACTCTGGCCTGAAATTTAAGTGGCTTAGAATGAAGGGGTGAGAACAGAACCGTGCTCTGAGACAGCAAGATTAGCTTAGTGGCAGGATCAGGTGGGGGTGCGGCGGGGGGGTGCGTGATGGCACCCGAGGTTTCGTTGCCAGAACTCTCCTGCTCTTTTCCTTGTTGAGTCTCACTTCCGTGGGTATTTTATTCTGTTTTTGTTGATGCTGAAGCATCTCCCAGAATTTTGTCCTCTTATATCAAGCCTCTAAAAGGCCCTGAGCCAGAGACAGAATGTCACATAGGAGTCTGGCTCCGGGTTAAATGGATGCGTGTTTAAACACGCGCATGCTATTTTGAGGTAACTGGTTCTAGCCGCTCTCTGAGCATTTCCGATGTCGGGCAGTGGTCTTCAGCTGCCGGGCAGGTCAGATTCTGTAAACACACACAGTACTCTTTCTTCATGGAGTTTAAGAAGTTCTTAGAAGCACAACTGAAAAAGGGTTTTCTGTGAAAACAGGAGAGTTCTTTTACACGCCTGAAGGGATCGATGTCATTTCCTAAAGGGCCAAACATATTTCTACAAATGAATCTGCTTTGAATCCCTGCCACGTGCTCAGCTGTCTTGTAAGTTTGTAGAGGATGTATGTGATATCTTGGTTCTTAAAGAACTTATGATAATAGTAAGCGATTCTTACTAATATTAAACACTTACTAAATGCCAGATACTCTACTACCGGCCTCACGTACATACCGTGTCACTTAATCCTCAGAGCAACTGATGCCGTACGTATTACTGTGTTCATTTTACAGATAAAGAAACTGAGATTCAGAGAAGTTTATTAACTTGCCAAGTGGTAGGGCCAGGATTTTGATCCAAGTCTGTTTGGCTTCAAAGCCCCTGGTCTACTTCCTTGAGGTGCAGTTGGCCAGGCAAGAAGGCTCACAGGAAAATGCATACTAATTGAAATCTAGATGGTGTTTGGCAACGGATACAAAGATGTGAGGGATAGCTAATATGTGATATGTCAGAATCAAGATTCTAAAAGATCTTGGCAGATTGGAAGAACAGAACAAGTGGTAAAATGAAATATACTGGTGATAAATGCAAAATCCCCTCCCCTCCACACACACACACACACATTTAAGTAAAAAACCAGCTGTTTAAGACATGAAGCAGAGTAAAATGGTTTAATAGCACGATGTGAGAGGAAAAAGGACTCAGGGACTTTAGTTATTTGCCAGTTCAAACTGGATCAGCAGTAGAACAATGGCTGTCACAAATGCTAATGTAATCTGAAGCCATATTCGTTAAAAAATATGGAATCCATTAAGGAATAAATGAAGACAACAGGATGATGAGGGATCTGGAAATCGGGCCATGTGAAAAATGATTGAACGAATTAGGGGTTTTGGTCTTGAAATATTTGGAGACTTTTGTGTCTTCACGGATTCTGTTTCCCTAGAGGGGCAAGGTGCAGGTCCTGCCCACTGCATGAAGATGCACATGGGGAGATCTTGACCCCACAGAACTGTCACTCAACGATCCCAAATGATTCGGGCTGTCTGGTGAGGTGATGAAATGTTGGAGCAGAGGCTGAATGATGTTGTGGAGCAGGATTCCGGACTCCAGATGCTACAGGGATCAGAGCATAGGAGAGTTAGGGAGGCCTAGAGTGGTCAGGGATGGTTCATGGAGAAACTGGAACACGACCAGGTTTGGAAGATTGGCAAGGGAAGAAGATTCTAGGTGAGGACAATAACATAGGAGAAGATAAAGAAAAATAGAGTAGGCATTTAAAAAACTTTATTTATTGAACAGGAAAGGGACATAGCTTCAGTATGATTTATGGTGCTAATTGGGCGGGAGAAATAAGATTGGATAAAGGAATCTGGGGTCCCATAGAACCCCGTGACACTTATTCGGGTAGGGAACTTTTTAAGGTGCCATTTATTTTTTGCTAGTATATTTGATATGGTAGGAGTAACCCAATATATGCTCCACACCTTGTCTTATTTGCAAAAGACTAACTTTAGCCTGAAACGAATAAGCATCTCTTTCACTTTACTTAAAAACCTTAACCTCTCTGAAGTGTGTAAAAGGAGGGCTGTTAACCATGAATTTTACCAGCTGGGTGTTATACCACATGTGTAGTTTTAAAAGTGAAGTAGTTAAAGGGCGCCTGGGTGGCTCAGTTGGTTAAGCGACTGCCTTCGGCTCAGGTCACGATCCTGGAATCCCAGGATCGAGTCCCGCATCGGGCTCCCTGCTCAGCGGGGAGTCTGCCTCTCCCTCTGACCCTCCCCCTTCTCATGTGCTCTCTCTCTCTCTCAAATAAATAAATAAAATCTTTAAAAAAAAAAAAAGTGAAGTAGTTAAAGATAGGTCAGATCATTACATACACTGTGTTGTGGTCACCCTGAAAAGGCAGGAGGGACCCCCCCCGACTCGAAATTGGGTTCAGATGTTGAGACACAATAGTACGCATGCACCGAGAGGGTATGGAAAGGTTTACTATGTATTTGAAGTGTCTGGGGAGACAGGGCATTCACCAAAGGAGGGAGCACTCTGGCTTTCTTATCAGCTTTCCCAGATGGGGGGCAGAAACAGCAAAAATGAAGGCAGATCCATTACAGCCTAGAGATGGAACTATTTCTTCTTCAGGGTCTTGAAGGGAGCTGATGTGAAGACTATCTCGCACCAAAACCTTGTATTGTGTGTGTGTGTGTGTGTATGTGTGTGTGTGTACCAGCTAAGTAAAAGCAAACGTGTGCTCACCTTATGGTTAAACCTTGTCCAGGCCTCGTTACCGGTGCATAACCAGGTATTACCTTCAATTGAGGGTGTGGATGGTTCAGACCCTTTGGCAACTCTGCAGAACCCTATGGGTAGACTGGAGGCCAAAGAGGAAGAGGATGAGGATGAGGATGAAGATACTGAGGAAGATGAGGAGGAAGATGGTGAAGACACAGACCTGGATGACTGGGAACCAGATCCCCCTCGGCCCTTCGACCCACATGACTTATGTAAGTACGAGCTATTCCTTGTGAGTGTGTGTGAGCACGGGAACACAGTTAACATTTGCTGGGGGCTTCTTGTGTGCAGACCCAGCGCTCCCCGCTCTGCACGCACCATCTTGCTCAGTCCTCACAACAACCTGTGAGGGAGGCACTGATGCTTTCTCGAGGGTTCTGATTTTACTGGTGGATGAACCAAAGGTCAGAAGAGGCTGAGCCACCTGCTCCGTGTCACGCGGGGGTGAGTGATGGCTCAGGCACGGAGCCTGTCTCTGACACCAGTGCTTGAGCTTGTCAAGCCACTGTGGGAAGTTGCTCTGGTCCTGGAATATTCCTGGAATATTCTGCCGTTTCAGCTTTAACAAGTTGGCTCAGCTGCCTTACCTCTCTCTTCATAGCAACCTTTTAAACATGCCTATTATGTTCCAGGCACCCGTGCTTTACATTTTCTTTTTTTTTTTTTTAAAGATTTTATTTATTTGACAGAGAGAGCCACAGCGAGAGAGGGAACACAAGCAGGGGGAGTGGGAGAGGGAGAAGTAGGCTTCCCGCGGAGCAGGGAGCCCGATGTAGGGCTCGATCCCAGGACCCTGAGATCATGACCTGAGCCGAAGGCAGACGCTTAACGACTGAGCCACCCAGGCGCCCCTGCTTTACATTTTCTAAATTGTTTAATGCTTTCCATGGTCTTACGGGAGGGTTGGTAGTGTTCCGTTGTTTTGAGAGTCAGGGTTCAAACTGAGCTGGGTCTGGCTCCCGTGTGCACCTGGATAACTACAACACTTGCTGTCTCTCTGGACTGTCTGCTTTGGGAGAGGGTGGGAGGGTTCCTGCTTCCACCTACCAAATTATCGCTTCTTTCCATCGATTTTCATGCTTATGTGGCAAAGTGCTTATCTCGTTTGTTTGAGTTACTGAGGCTGTTTGGAGCTTTGTGGTCTCACCATATCGTCCCGGGACCTTCTGTGTGGTGATGGTGAAGCCTGTTTGCATGGGGCTGGCATTCACCTCCATGTGCAGTAGAGAACTTGCTCATTTTATTTTTCCTTGAATTCATGAATTTTCACGGCAACTCCTTAGTCAAATACGCATACAGTGACTTTATCTTACAAATAGTAATACAAAGTAGCTCTCCGTTATTGGAGAATTGTAGAAACTGGAAGTACCCATTTCCTAAGCCGGGTCATCACCCAGCTGGAGTTGGGTAAAATACAGTTGGCTACTTAAATGTGTTAAAGGTCATGAGTATGGTGCCTCTGGGGTCCAGGCACTTTTCTCTGTTTTGTGGCCATTTCCATCAAGTTCTGGCAGTTAGTTTACGGGATAGGTGCTGCTGGGAAAGAGGGAGTGAGTGTGGATGCTTAGTGCAAAGTAATGACTCCTGGAAGGAGCTGAAAATGGATCCTGTCTGGGCTAAGCTCTATCATTCAAGACAATGAAGGATAGAATGCTAAATTCATTCATTTTAGCATTATCTTCACATGATATGTGTTGAAGTCTCAAGCCGTACAGTGCTTTTTCTGTTTGAGTTAGACATGCCTCGACAATGAGGCTTCTATGACTTCTTTTGAAGAAACTGATTAAATGGTATTGTCAGAGTTTTTTTAAATAGCTTTACTGAGATATAATTTACATACTCTAAAATTCAACTGTTTGTCTTACCAGATTTTGCAGCATTTATCCTAATAAGCTCTTCTTTTTTCTTTTCAGACCTGTTATAATTGATTTGTAAATTTACTGGGCTACTATTTGACTTAATCTCCAGTAGAGAAATAAGTCACTGCCTGTGTATTATTTTTGGCAGGCACAAAAGCTAATTCTGTCTCATTTTAGAGGAAGAGGACAGGATTTTACTGGTCTATGAAAGCTAGCATATTACAGCTGAATGAATAGTGTAATTGTAGGAGTTAACTGAATTTTGGAATTTGGGGATTTTTCAGGTTAGAACTTCGTACCTGAGATCAAGTGATGTTAAGGAATTTGACTTTAAGATTTTCTTTCTTTTGCAGGGTGTGAGGAGTGCAATAATGCACATTCTTCAGTGTGCCCAAAGCATGGCCCCTTGCATCCCATCCCTAACAGGCCTGTGCTCACTAGAGCAAGAGCGAGCCTCCCCCTGGTCCTCTACATTGACAGGTTCCTCGGAGGGGTGTTCTCCAAAAGGCGCATTCCTAAGCGCACCCAGTTTGGCCCTGTGGAGGGACCCCTCGTCAGGGAGTCTGAGCTGAAAGACTGTTATATTCATCTGAAGGTAACTTACGCTTTATCATAGTTCACTCTTGTTCTTAATAACTTTTAAAGGGGCATGTGTTTTCCTACTGGTTCTCTTAATTCAATTCTATAACTGTTGTTTGCTAGTATTTTTCTTTCTCTGCTTTGTTTTATTTTTTTTGTTTTTTCTGCTTAATTTGTTTTGAATGGAAACATTTTCTCTCTCACCAATAAATTGGAGATTGCAGTCTCAGTCCCCTAAGGTATTCTATGAGTAATTCTGAGAGGTGTTGTTCTTAGGGGCTGTATTAGTCTGCTAGAGCTGCTGTAACAAATACCACAGACTGGGGGAGCTTAAAGAACAGAAATTTATTTTCTCACAGCACCCGAGCTGGAAGGCCAACAAGGTGGCAGCAGGGTTGGTTTCCCCTGAGGCCTCTCTCCTCGGTTTGCAGGGTCTCCTCTCTGGTTCCTCATGCCTTTACTCTATGTGTGCACGTGTCCCTGTTGTCTCTCCCTGTGTCCTGATCTCTTTTTCTTGTAAGGACACCAGTCAGATTGGGTTAGGACCCACGCTGATGACTTAATCACCTCTTTTAACTTATTTACCACCTTAAAAGCTGTATCTCCAAATATAGTTACATACTGAGGGGTTAGGACTTTAACGTATGAATTTGGTGAGAGCACAACAGTCCGTAATAGGGGCTTTGACAACTTTTTCTTTTCTTCTTCAAATGTAGACTCGTGTAATCTGCTAAGTACCAAAAAAGTTTTCAGGAAAACCCCTTTTCAGTTTTTGAAACAGGTCTGTTCTGTTGAATCTTTTGTTAAAGAATAGTTCACTGTATGTTAAAGTATATTTATACTGATCTCTCTTCTTTACATTTGATGCTTTTGCTTCTGTCCAACCCCTGTGCTGTCTGCTTCTTGGAAAGCTACCCTGGAGAACCAAGAAAGGGTAGCGGGAAGGGATACTATTTGGGGTGTGTTTTTTGAGAAGTCATTTGCTGTCATGGGGAGGTTTTCTTTGGTGAATGCTCAAGATCTTCAAGAAAGATTATTACTTTGTACAGAGAAATACGTATCACAAGGCTACTCATTATTAACGAATGCAGTTGAATCCCTGAAGTAAGCAACTTGTAAGGAACTAGAGAGTATTTTGCTTGGATTTCCTGGCTTATTTATAGTATTTTCTGATGTGTTGGTTAATGATGAAGCATCAACTGAAGCTGTACGATCAGATTGTTAACTTGAACATTTTGCCAGGTGATTCTGCTCCAAATGAGTCTTCAAAAAGTGGCCTTTTCCTTTTACACTTGGCAAGACACAATTCCTGGATCTTTCTAGATATAAAAGGAAGAATCAGGATATATGGTTAATTTCAGGAGTGGTATTTTGTATATTACTACGTTAATGTATATCATATTAAAAGTTTTGTTTGTTTTTATTTTGTTTTTTGGTGTGGCTTTTTACTTTCTCTTTGGTTGTAGGTTTCTCTTGATAAAGGGGACAGAAAAGACCGAGATTTGCATGAAGACCTGTGGTTTGAATTATCTGATGAGACCCTTTGTAACTGGATGATGTTTGTACGTCCAGCCCAGAATCACCTGGAGCAGAACCTGGTGGCTTACCAATATGGCCACCATGTGTATTACACGACAATAAAGAACGTAGAACCCAAACAAGAACTGAAGGTACAGTGCTGGTTCAGTGGTACCTTTATTAGGAATAGTGTCCATTAGATGCCTTTATGATTCTTTTTTTTCTCGGAAGGGGGGTTCTTACAAAAATGGTCCTTTCCTTATAATTCACTTACTTATTGAGTACTTGCTATGTACAGTACATTTACAATAATCCCATAAAAAAGCAATGAAAAGTACATGACTTTTGTGTCTCTCAAAGGCCTACACTAAGGCATTCAGCCCAAGGGTAAAGAAGTAGTTGTGTTTAGGGAGCAGACTGGTATTTGTGATGGAGTGATTAAAGTTGGGGTCACTTAACGTTATTTACACACTCTGAAGAAGAATTAGTTGGAAACAGGAGATCTTATAAAATGGAATTTAGATGGACCAGTTAGATTCCTTTACCTGAATGCCTCATTTTACCCTAAGAATTCTATGCACTGACTTCTGATTTTAGAAATATGTTCTTTGGAGATAACTCTGTAGGAATTTGTCTAAATATTAACTTTTTTTTTTTTTTTTTTTTAATATGACAGAGAGAGACACAGCGAGAGAGGGAACACAAGCAGGGGGAGTGGAGGAGGGAGAAGCAGGCTTCCTGCAGAGCAGGGAGCCCGATGCGGGGCTCGATCCCAGGACCCTGGGATCATGACCTAAGCCGAAGGCAGACGCTTAACCATCTGAGCCACCCAGGCACCCCTAAATATTAACTTTTGATGACAAAATTAAAATTCTGTTGTAATTCTAAGGGAAAATTCCTGATTAGATGAAAAAGAGATGAGAAATGATTTTATCAGTACATGAACACTGAATCGCACAATGCTGCAATGTGGTAACAGTGACAAATAGATACCTCTTTGGGGGAGAACAAAGACCTAGACTTTGTTCAAAAGCTATACAAAACCTGTGTCTTTGTAGAAGGAGATTCATATCTCACATCATCTATCCCAATAAATTCTTGATATCCAAGTGAATACTTCTTGGCTGTGGAGGGGAGATTATGTTCTCTCCTAAGGAGTAGATAGAACTGTAGAGGTAAAGACAGGCAGAAACAAATAAGAATAGAATAGTTTAGTGTAATGAACAACCAAAACACTAGATGAAAAGGAAGCAACAGAGTGGGAGAAATCTTTGTAATACATGTTAAAAGGTTTAAAAATAAAAACTGAGGGGCGCCTGGGTGGCTCAGTCGGTTAAGTGGCTGCCTTAGCTCAGGTCATGATCCCAGGGTCCTGGGATCAAGCCCTGCACCGGGCTCCATGCTCGGCGGGAAGCCTGCTTCTCCCTCTCCCACTCCCCCTTCTTGTGTTCCCTCTCTCGCTGTCTTTCTCTCTGTCAAATAATAAATACAATCTTTAAAAAAAAATTAATTAAAAAAATAAAAATAAAAATAAGAATAAAAACTGAGGGGCACCTGGGTGACTCAGTCAGTTGAGCCTCTGACTCTTGATTTCAGCTCGGATCATGATCTCTGGGTCCTGAGATCAAGCCCCATGTCAGGCTCTGTGCTCAGCACGGGGTCTGCTTGTCTCCCTCCCTCTGCTCCCCACCCCCCCGCTTGCTCTCTCTGTCTCTCAAATAAATAAATAAAATCTTAAAAAAAAAAAAAGAATAAAAACTGAGATGGTTGGGTTGGGTGTCTGACTTTGGCTCAGGTTGTAATCTAGGGGTTGTGGGATCAAGCCTCATGTCTGGCTCTGCGCTCTGTGGGGAGCTGCTTGAGATTCTCTCTCTCACTCTCCCTCTGCCCCTACCTCCTTCAAATAAGTAAATAAATCTTTAAAAAGAAAACAAGAATGAAAACTGAGAGAAAATAACCTCTAACCCCTCTGGTATCCTCATGGACACATGAATACTGGGAATAGACTTTATTTGGAGGAGAAATCAATAGTAAAGGTCAAAATTTTTTCCAATGTTAATAATTTTAAAACCCTTAAAACAACTATGAGTTACTGTTTTTGTTAATTTAAATTACCAAAAATAAATGGATGCAGTACAGTGAATGTGAGGGTTTAAAATATAGGGACATTTGTCACAGAATTGCAGTATTTTATAGAATATTTCTGGCAGTGTATAGTAAAAGTGTTCTTGGCTGAATAAACCTAATCCTTGAAAATTAGTCTGAGGAAATAATTATAAACAAAGATAAAGCTAGATACATTCTAATTTTGTAATGCTGTGTTTCGCCAATTCAAACACCAGTGACTTTAAGATGAACCATTATTTTATACACCATTAAGAAAAAATATGCTGCTATTTAGGCTAAGGTTATAGTGCTTATTTTTATCACCAAAAAGAGTAGTTTTCTGCTAACTGCAGGAGCTGTGTTAGACTTATTTAGAGATAATTTTGAAATCCTATCACATTTCTGCATACTTAAAAAGGCACATATAAGCAAAATAAATTGACTGACATATAAACTGCCTTGTGTACAGTCTAACTTTTTTTTTTAAACTGAATCACTGTTTTACTTTGTCATTTGTGTTTTGTACATCTCTCGTCTTCTGTGCCATCAAGGTATTGATGACGCTGTATTATTTTTAAAATAAGTGATCCACTGTTGCCTCTGGGGTATTTTTCCAAATGACGGATGGTGTTTCTGTACAAGTTTTGACCCTGTGTTTTCCCACTGACTGAACCCATATGTGTCTTTTTTCTCAATTAAAACACATGTCTTTGGAAGTTAAGTGACTTTTGATTAAGTCAGTAGGAAGTTTCCTGACAATTTGATGTTTGATGTATTAACAGAGGTCCTACAAGGTGATCACACCAGCCTTGTATCCATATATATATATATATATATATTTTTTTTTTTTAATTCTGAGGAAATGGCTTTTTTTTTTTTTGGCCTTCTTTTGCGTTGCTCGTCAAGTGTTAACACGTCATGGAGTGCCAGAGCGACAGATAACTGAATGAGATGAGAACAGTGCAAAGAGCTTGGCTGGGTTTGTGCAGGAGCAATGAGCAGCAAGTAAAAGAAAGCCACATCACAAGAGTGATTGCAGAATGCCGTGGAGGTGGTTTTTGAGATGCTAAAATATGAAAAATATACATTTTGAAGTTGATGGACTAGGGTAGAATTTATAACAGCAAAATGATAAACTATCTCAAAATCCAACTATAGGTCATGGTCAAGTAAATTACAGAACATAGACTCTGGCATAGAATATTATTCCACACTTAAAAATGGAGTCTCCATATAAATATTTCCTTATAGTTAAAATAGTGTTCCATAACAATTATACATGATTAATTCATTTAGCGATGAACATATTGAACTCCTACTGTGTTTCAGACACTAGGAAAAGATAGACTGGTGTCTGTGTTCAGGGAGCTTGTACTCTAGAGGGGAAGTGGGCGGAAGGATGTAAGTAAGCAAATATAGTTGACGCTTGAACAAAACAGAGATTAGGGGCACCGACCCCTCGGGCAGTTGAAAATCTACATGTAACTTTTGACTCTTAAAAATTTAACTGTTAATAGCCTACCACTAATTGGAAACCTTACCAATAACATAAACAGTTGATTAACACAGATTTCGTATGTTGTATGTATTATATACTGTATTCTTACAATAAAGTAAACCAGAATAAGGAAAATGTTATTAAGACAATCATAAGGAAGAGAAAGTGCGTTTATGGTACTGTACTAAAAAAAAATCTGTGTGTAAGCGGACCCCTGCAGTTCAAACCCCTGTTGTTCAAGGGTCAACTGTAATAACAAATAGTGGTTAAATGCTATGAAGGAAACAAATGGCGCAAAAAGAGCAGGTAGCAGGAAAGGGACCAGTTTACAAATGCTGGAGAGGGAAGGCTTTGCTGAGGAGACACTAATGAGGCTGGGGACTATGGAACGGGAAGGGAGGGACCAGCACTGTAGAAGGATTCATGGAGGCAAAGGGGAAGAACCCAACACTCCCGATGGTAGGCCAGCAAGGACAAAGGTTGGGGTGGGAAAGACCTTGGCTTGTTTGAGGAGCTGCAAGCAGACTCTCTTGTTGAAAGGTGGTAAGGGAGAGTGATAAGAGCTGGAATAGATCATAGCGCCCTTTGGAGCCCATCATCGAGCATTGCAGGTTTTTTATGAGTGAGAAGCTGTTTAAGCATGAGAAGGATGAAATCTGATTGCGTTTTAAGACAGCCTCTCTGCTCTTGTGTGAAGAATGGGTTGGCAGGAGCAAGAATGGAAAAGGGGAAGCTCACTAGAAGACCATCCAGGCAGGAGCCCATCTGGGCATGGATCTTGGTGGGAGAAGCAGAGATGAAGAACATCCGAGCAGTTCACAGCTCTTGCTGAAGGATGACAGAAGAACACTGAGAAATCTGAGATAACTTTTAGGTGTCAAGTGAGAGCAGCTGGGTGAAAGGCAGGGTATTTATTGAGATGAGGAAGATGGGCAGGGGCGGGGGTGCAATAGGGAAGCATCTAGAATTCAACTCTGGACATGCCAAGTTTGAACTGTTTATGAAACATGCCAAATACCAGGTAGGCAGTAGAATGTATGTAGAGGGAATAGAAAGGGAGAGCCTGGGATGGAGATATTAATTTAGAATTGGTTGGAAATGGATGGGATCACTTTAGGGAAAAATAAGAAGGCCCTGGACTTGGATTAAGCTTTGAGGAAGCTTAGAGAGGAAGAGGGAGAGGAAGGAGAGCCAGACGAGGAGACCGAGCAGAAGTAGCCAGCGGGGTAGGAGGGAGGAAGAGACTCAGGAGGGCGCGGTCGCATTTGAAATCATCCTCGGGGATCCCAGCAAGAGCTGTTTGGTGGAAGTCACAATGATTCCAGCTGTGTAAAAACCCATGTTTACATACAGATAAAACAACCAGAAGAGGTATGTTTTATTTTGATGAAGAGACTATTAATATTATCTCTTATGAAGTTGTTCTAATAACAAAAACAATTTTTTTTAAAAAGGAAAAAGAAAACACACAGTGAGTGTGTCTTGGCAAATGCACTTCCTGACTGACCATCTGGTGTTAAAGAGATCGGCTCACAGTGCGATTTTTTATTGTTGTTGTTTGTTTGTTTTTCATGGGTTGTGGGAAAGCCTGAATTGTTTTGTGTAAGCAGGAGAAAGAATGTAAGCATGCAAAGAACATCTGGTGATGTCCTTTAGTTCTTCATGATGTACTTGGTTCTTGCAGGTGTGGTACGCTGCATCCTATGCTGAGTTTGTGAACCAGAAAATTCATGACATCTCTGAGGAAGAAAGGAAAGGTGGTTGGACTTTTTATTTTCTATTTTCTGTATGAATTCTAAATTGTATATATTACATCATTATGCAACCTCCAATTTTCCTATCTCAATATATTTAAAAGAGTCTAGTAGTTTTTTTTTTTCAGCTACACATCCTTGTCTAATCCTAGGATTGAATGACAGTGACATATTTACATTTCTTTCATGGGTGTCTGGAAAATAGTATTTAATATAATGAAAACCTCCAAATACTAAATTAGAACCTAGACCTGAGGACGATCTCTATCTAGATTTAATCATCTCTGAGGACATTAGCAAGGCAGGCATTGACTTTGTTTTTAATATAAATATTACTGAAGTATAATTTACATACAAAGTGGAAAAATTGTAAGTCTACAGTCCAGTGAATTTTCACAAAGTGAACACACCTGTGTAACCTGTACCCAGATCAAGAAACAGAATGTGGCCAGTACTCTGGAAGTCCCTTGTGCCTTCTTCACTCTCAGGTGTAACTAATATCCTGACTTCTAATACCATGGATATAATATGCTCATTATCAAACTTCATATAATTAGAATTATGTATGTTCTGGGAATCTTTTGCTCGACATGTTTGTGAGATTTATCCATATTGTTGTGTATTATTGTAATGTGTTCATCCTCATTGCTATTTGGTAGTCTAGTGTATGGCTATACCATAATTAATGCATCTGTTTCACTGTAGATGAAAATTTGGGTTGTACAGTGCAACTCTGACACTTACCTGGGTTAGGTCACATTGTGCAGATTAAGGGCCGAGTCTTTCACAAGACTCTTCCCTTCAGATACCAGCTACAAGCTCTGGCGTTCCCATGCCACCTGCATTTCTGACCAACTAACTACAATTTAGGGAGCTAGAACCTCCTTAGGCTTGATTTTCTAGAATGACTCACAGAACTCAGAAAAGTGCTATACTTATGATTACAGTTTTATTATAAAGGATACATATCAGGACCAGCCAGATGAAAAGGTGCTTAGGGCAAGGTTTGTGTGGGTCCCAAATATGAAGCTTCCATGTCCCATGTCACCTCTGTGGCACATTGATGTATGGTTACCAACCCAGGAAGCACACCTGAGCTTCAGTGTCCAGAGGTTTTATTGAGGCATCATGACAGAGGCATGGTTGATAGAATCATTGGCTGCATGATTGAACTTACTCTGCAGCTCTTTCTCCCTGGCTGATACCACCTGGCTTAAAGCTCCAACCCTGTAATCAGATGGTTTGACTTTCTGGCCCAGGCAGCCCCCATCTTGGGTCATATTAGGAGAAACTCACATATGGTCAAAGACTACCACGAATAACAACGACACTCCTGTTATGTGGGATATTCCAAAGACTTAGAGGTTGTTTGCCAGGAACCAGGGACAAAAGACAGCCAAATTCTTTATTATACAACAGGGTTGTTTCTAGTTTGGGACTATATTGAAGAGTGCCACTGTGAACATTCGTATACATGGCTTTCTTTTAGTGAACATGCATGAGTATTTTTGTTGGTGCGCATTCAGGAGTGGCATTGCTGGAATTGGATGTGCCAATAGTCAACTTTAGTAGATACTTTAACATTTTGTTAAAGTAATTATATTGGGCATTGACTTTTAAGGGTTTTTTTTTGTGTGTGTGATAAACGAGGCCTTCAGCTTATGAACCCTGGATCAGAATCACTAAGTTATCTGGATACAGATTTCCATTGTAGCACTTCCTGTCTTTCCAGTGTGGTGAGGCTGTGTGTGTGTGTCTGTTGGGGAGATGGGAAATGGTCCTGTGACAGAGTTTGGTCCTTTGATGTCTTACATGAATATAGAAGAAAATAAGATCCTAGAAACTACTCTTGTCAAAGTGTAGCCTTTGATTTTCTAACAAAACAGTAATGCAAATAGCAGACACTATGTTTGTGAGCACCAGGCTACGTGAGATGAGAATGGTGGGGATATTGGGCATTTGAGTTTTATTGCTGTCCATTAATCATCAGCCATTATGATTTCTCTCCTGTGACTGCAGTTCTTCGTGAGCAAGAGAAGAATTGGCCCTGCTATGAATGTAACCGCCGATTTATAAGCTCGGAGCAGTTGCAACAGCATCTCAATTCCCATGATGAAAAACTTGATGTGTTTAGCAGGTATCAGAAGGTTTCGCAAACTTAATTGTTAAAGGTCCAGATTCATTTCCATATTGTCAGTAAGCTAACGAGTGTTTCTGTGTGTAGACAGGTAATCAGGTGGGCTGCAGAGGGAAATTTCTAATCTGTCATTTCCCTTTGCCTGCCCCCATCCTCATCTACTATTGATTTCTTTTCCAGCATAATCAGAGTACCCAGCAATAGGAGATCCTTCCCCCTTAATTAAGCCTCCTCTAAGAGATTCTGGGACGGGAATTCTTTTTTTTTTTTTTTTTTAA